ATCTCCTACCTCTTTTGTCTGTAACTCACTATTATTTGTCTATTTGTTTTCCTGAGAAACTATTTTGTAGACAATAATATGTAAAATGATAACCATCGATAATTTCCTACCATTCTGTATGTAATTTGCTAAGTCCCCCCTATTATTATGTTATCCTTCTTTTATTGTTTAAAATAAAAAAAATAAATAAATAAATAGGTATTGATCACCTGAGAAAGCCAGAAGAAGCCACTAAGCCCACCTCCTGCAGGAAAGGCCCCTGTTCTGTATTCATTCCCACTTGCTACTTGACTTTCTTACCCATTTGATCCCAATTTGATCAATTTTACCTGAGCAATTATACTTGTAATCTTATTGATTGACCACAGTTTGTCCCACTTCAGGCCTACCTTGTGATTTCCCATTTTTCTCACTTGGACTCACCTCACATCATGGATTTCCTCTATACAAATCCCTAGAGAAAGCCCTTGACAACCCAGTCAAGACCCCTTCTGTCTCTTTCTCAGATAGAAGCTTTCTTTCCCCGAATAAAAATGTTCTACTTTTAATCACCATTATTCCTAAAATTCATTCTTTGATTTTAGAGAACATGAACTCCTACCAGACATCTAGCAGGTTGGGAGTTTCTTTCCCCTATGTCATTACTGGCCCACAGCAGAGACGCCCATCTCTCCAACAGTTGCAAGGTATTTCATCTTCTGCACTGGCTCCTTTGAGGGCCTAGCAGTATCTGACTGCCTATAATATTTCTATTTAACTCAGTTGCCTACAACATCCCCCCGCCATGAAGAAACATCCTGAAGTCTTGTAAGGGCATAATGGGAGATGACCCATCTGGCTTCTTCAGGTTGAAAGGGGTCATAGTTGTTGATTGGCAGTTGTTGATTATAATTTTACACGCCTCTAAGAAGAAAAGTACACAGAGATGGGAAAAGATTAGAAGTAAGGCCAGAGAAAGAAAACTGAAGCAGAACAGGCAGAACATTTTCTCTAAAATGTACAGGAGGATTGGAGCCAGGCTGTCCCAGTGAAACCTGCCCTCCAAGGTTTAAGAATGGCCACCAACTTAGTCTTTTAACTGGTTGAAGGAGTCCCATGTTTTATCATATAGGCATGTATATTTTTCTAAGTCTGTGCTAGATTCTATTTAAAAAGATCCATTCTACAGAAGTTTATATTAAAGTCCACTAAGGGGACATTTTAATGTTTCTTTCTCTAATGTTATTGTCTAAATAAAGTGAAGCAAAGAATACCAGCAAATTTAGTAACTAGTTCAAATGCAACATATATAAGAACAAAACAGGAGTAAAAATATCCCATTAAAGAAGTATCATAACCTTATAACCCTCCCATGTTTTAAATTAGGTTTATCATCATTTTAACAAAACTATATAAGAGACAAAGCACATGCAATTATAAGCAACAGGCAAAGACAACAAAATTTGAAACATAAAAATTTGTTACTTAAATGTGTCTCAATCCAGAGTCTATGATACAAACTCTTAACTCCATATGGAGTTAAGAGTTTGTATCATAGACTCTGGATTGATCCCTCAAAGATCTAAAATTTCTTTGGTTGTGAAGTACCAAACACCGAAAGGTAAATAAAGCCACACAAGGACTGAAATAAAAAATTGCTGCCAGTACACCTGATATAACCAGGGCCCCTTTCCAAACTACTACAGCCTCCTTTGCCTCTGCCAATAGGTACACAACCCTCGATAATGGCATCTTTCCCATGACTTTATAACTTCTTTTGAAATCCTGAAAATTAGTTTCTACTAAATGGATCCAGGATGATGAAATTTACTGGAGGTCTGAGGTTTATTAACACTTGAGTATAAGGTTAAAATTATGATTTGAGATAATTCTTGCAGTTCATGCATAGAGTCCAAAACTAAATCAGGCTGGTGTTGATATGCTCACCAAAATTGACCGAGAATGTATCCTGAGAATCCATAAACCTAGTGCTGAAATGAAGAGGGATTTCAACCAAGAGATTAGGATGTGGCAAACTGGCTAGACATGTGGGTGTAACCTGTTAATCAAGGAGCCAGGAGACATGAGCACAAGCTTTGTTCCTAGAACAATGAGAAAGTGCTATCTTAAATTTTTCTCCAAAGAACTCAAGTAGGTCTTTGATACAATAGCCTAGATCTGACATCAGCCCGAGGTGTCGGAGACGCAACAGATGGCCTCCACTAAGCTGGTGGCCTCTGTGACCTCTTCCAGTGGGTCATTCTGCACTTTGCAGGGTGTCATTCTTTTCCTACTCTTAAGTGACTCCCACTCACTCTACAGGGTACATTTCTTTTTCTATTTTTAACACCTTGCATAAATGCAATACTTAACTACCTTTTTTGCTTGTCCTGACCAATTCTTTGTTCAGCACAAAAGAATGTAGAGAGCACCTCTAGCAGGAGAACTGCAGCACTCCACAACCCAGTAACAATCCCACCCTTCCCCAGCAAAGGAGATGAGAAAGAGAAGAAAAGAAAAGGAACGAGAGCCAGAGAGGGAAGAAACCACACAAGAAAATGTCAAAGGGACAAAAGGGAAGATAGAATCCAATGATAGTTCCCAGAAACTAATTTGGGTGATGCTGTCCTGGGGGATCACAACTTCTCTTCACAGGGTGCTGGGGTGTGCCTTTGAGCATTTTTCAGGTTCACATTAACACTGCCAGAGCTGGACTTGAGGTCCTGACTCTGAGCCCAGCCCTCTATGTTTCCAGCTCTTCTCAGACTTGAAAAACCACGTGAGCATATTGGTAAAGTGCACATGCTGATCCTGTAGCATGCACTGGTTCTGAGGTTCTGCATTTCTAGCAAGCACACAGGCCACATTGTTGCTACTGGCTCAAGTCCCACTGCACAAGCGGCAAGAGTTGCCAGGGATTTGGGAGCTCTGCATTCTTTCTCAGTCACTCTGCCAGCAGTAAATCCACAACCAAGAGCTGTAAAATGCCCAGACCCACAAGTTCTTCAGTATCAGCCAGTGTTTTAGAGAAACAGAGTGCTAAAAAAATAGTAACTGCCCTAAAAATAAATTTGTTTTCAACACCTCCGCAAAACCTGATACTTGCCAGGGAAATTCATCACCACTAAGAAAGCCAGTCTTTGTGATCTGCAGCATAAAAGAGTCCTAAAAAAAATGAAAGCAGCTAAGGTACTGGCTGTAGGGTAGAAGTGCACCTCTCATATTGCCAGGTGTAACTCAACGCAGAAAAGAGAAAGTCTCCCCAAAGCTCTCCAACAAAGCAGGGACTCCCAGATTTGCACATTTACTGCCGGGTCCCCAGGCCTACAATGGGCATCTTGGCTTTGGTGCTGAGTTCCACAAAAGTCGCCATGGTTGCTGCAAAAGCCTGAGAGAGCAGATAAAGAGCACAAGCCTGTGAGCTGCAGCAGGAAGCTAGCAGGTCCTGTTAATAAGGCTGACTGGGCTGCTGGGGGAGGGCCCAGAGCTCGGGGCTGGCTTAGAACAGGGAGTCCATCCTTCTAGTCTTTTGTGAGACTGACTGGCAGAAGTAAATCATTAGAGATAAAGACCCAGCACAAATTCTTACTGCTGTGAAAGGTATGAATTACTTTAAGAGTGCAAATTATGAGTTTGATCCCCAATATAACATAGTCAAGATTCCCAAACATTATGTAATTTGATATAGATGTTGCAGTGAAAATCTGCATACTATAGCCAGATTTGTGGGTATTTGAGAGGATTGAGGCCAGGGAAATTTCCTAAGGCAAAATGAAGAGGATGACATAAATTACTTTGAGATAATAATCCTTGACTACAAGAAGTAATCATAAAAGTACATGTGCTGAATGACCCTCTTTTTAGGATCAGACCTGGGTTTTCATTGCTTTTTACACAAGATTTCATTGTCCTAAACTTGTGGCCTTAACTAATTTCCCCACCACAATCTTCCAAGTGGTAAGACTATATCTTCCTAGTCTCCTTCTTTCCTTATTTAAAAAAAATAAGTTTGTTCTTAGGAGCATTTTTAGGTTTGTATTTAAAAATTGATATAGTATTATTAACTGAAGTCCATAGTTTTCACTGAGGCTCCGGTTTTCTGTAGTATATTTTCTTGGTTTTGACAAATGTCCCGTGACAGGTATCCATCACTACTGTATCAAACAGAATAGTGTTGTTCCCCTGAAAACTGCCTGTGCTCCACCTGTCCATCATTCCCCTACTTTTCCTGAGCCCAGGACAGCCACTGACCTATTAAAGTCTTCATAGCTGAAATCACATAATATGAAGTCTTTCCAGATTCACTTCTGTCACTTACCAGTATGCATTTAGGGTCCTATATTTTTTTTTCTCGCTTGATGGGATATTTCTTCCTTTCACTGAATTACACTTATGTTCTCTAGTTGCTCCGCATTTTGCTAATGCATTATCTATGGGAGCATATCTCCACTGTTTAATTGCTCAAATATAATTTTTCTGTTGGCTCACCGTGAGTCAGCAAATTCAATTCAAGTGTGTTGACCTACACAGCCTTTCCTTCCTCTACGAAAGTGGGTGAAAGAACAGATTTTTCCGTGTGGCAGCTTGCAATCCCAGATTCAGTTATACTCACATCACTAGTCAGCCCTGACAGCTGGACACCCAGCACCTCAGGGGACAAGATTTTGGCTCCCCTAGTGAGGCAGGAGATGGACAGCACGGGAGACATTCTCGCCTTCCTCACACAGTCTCCTGGACACAACAGAGACATTTTGCTCTTACTATATCTCCTCAAAACCTGGCAGGAACGTAAAATATGTTCCTGCCCTTGTCACACTTCCCTTACATCTGGCCTGAGCTGGAGGAGCACGCACTTGAAGGAAGACATGAGTTTAACCAAGGATAACACCCAGGTCTTCCTAATATCATTAGCATTGTGGTTTTGACCACTGTTCTGGGCTATGGTATTGCGTTGGTTCCAGCCAGGCCTATATAAAGTCAAATATCTCTCATCCAGACAAGAGGGTGAATACTGTCAATTGTGTCTAATATAGTTGGTCCCCCTTTCCCCACAAACATACTCGTCTCCAAATGCTAAAAAATAAATAAATAAACAAACACTGGAACTCACTGCAGTAGTTTTGCACCTCAGACCTAGGCTTGCTTAAAATTCCTTTCAGGTTACTTTAGCTTCACACCTAAAACAGACAGGGTTGCTTTGTGTCAAACTCACGTCTCAACGTGCTCCTCTCTGAGGAGTGCATTTTTCTTTCATAGATGTCTGGCTTCCTTATAACTTCTGCGTGTCCTGCTCAGTTGCCTGGGATATAAAGAAGCTGGGTATCAGGGGAGACAGAGACATGTCTAGTAGCATCTTGCCTTGGCAGGTGAGTGTTTTATCCTTCTCCTTGGTTTCTCTTCAATGCCTTTTTCTGCTTCAAGCGGACAACCAGGTGCTGGAACAGACGCTGAGGTTCTGCCGGGTAGAAGGCAAAGCCATGCATCATGTAGGTTTATGTTTGACTTTGTGCAGTCCAAACTGTAATTTGCCTAAAAAGGCCCTGTCTGAGGTCCACTGCTGTTAGCTCCTCTTATTGCACACGGACTTCTCGCAGCCCAATGAAAGGACACACAGGGTTCCCACTTCTGCAGGGAAGGCTCCTTCACTTAGTCCACCAGGGGAAAAAGCCTGCTTCCTCTTTGCTGACAAGCTGCCGAGGCCTAGAGAAAAGATAAGGTCCACTTGCTCCGCAGCTGCCCAGGGCCCCATTTCAGTCCACGCCTCTCTGGCAGCAGCCAGCGGGGCAAAGCTGGGACTGTCCGTCATGCCCCCGCGTGGGCGGAGCATGCACCCTGATGGCCCCGCCCCTAGCGGGTCCCTCCCTCCCACAGCAGGCTGGTGACATCACCTGCCCGTATGGGGCCCCTGCCTTGGTGGTCTGTGGTCGCCTCTTCCCTTGGCCCTACAGCCCTGAGCAGCTGCTGGGCAGCTCCACAACTGGAGTTCTGTTTAGCAGGGCTCCGGGCCGCTCACCCCGTTGCCCCCCAAATCCCATTCCTGCTGGACACACTGCACCGCAGCGAGGTGGGGTGGAGCTGAGACCTCAGCCCAGTGCTCCCTTTTCCCCGGCGGGTGGAGAGAGCGTTTTAGTTAAAAACCAAGGAGTGTAATCACTAAATTCTCAGAAGGCCTTCCTGATACCAAACTCTTTAGAGTTCAGCTGTGCATGGGCTGTGTCGGCCTGCTCAGGGGCCCAAGGGAGATTTTTGGCGGTGAGGTCCGCAGGTTAAAGAAGGCACATATGCAAGATGTCAGCAACAACAACAGGTAGCGTGGAGCAGAGCAGAGGGCAAGAGCACAAGAACCATGTCTTTATTGAATAATTCTTACACAGGTTATCTCATATTTACATTCTTATATAGTGTCGGAACCAGCACATATGTATTTACCTGTGCTATGCCGTGTTTACATAACTGCATCCCAATGTGGGCCTGTGCTAAGCAAGTGAGGTCACATTCTCAGGTGTTCTTAGGGGCCCCTGAGCTTTAAAGAATTCTGAGTGGTTCCCCACATCCCCTCAAAGGTTGGGAGTGTATAAATGTACCTTTTTATATGTAACAGGGCACGAGTATCTGTAGTTAACAAAGAAGAATTATGTGGTTTTGCAAAACCACCTTTTTATTTGAACAGTTTTGTCTACAAGTAACATCAGAGCCTGGCACATAACATTTAAGGCCTGGGCCATACGTTGAGCAAGGGCTTTAACTTGGAGGGCTAGGTCTATGGTTCTTGTCTCTGGTCAGACGCTATTTCTAGTGGCATCCATACACAGCAGTCAGTTTTTTTTGGTCAGAAACCATTTTTTAGCTGTCAACAATTTTAATGCCTTATCAAGGCACCTGTTAAGTCATTTCCCAGTGAAAGGAGGGGCTCACATTCTGAACCACGATATTCTACATGGCCACATTTTTGGCCACACTTTTATATATCTCCCCATACATTAGCACCCAACAAGGAATGGTGCCCTGTCATGCCAGCAATGCCCAAGCTGGCAACCAGAGCTTTATCACTACAGATGGCCTAGTTGTCCATGCACACATGTAGAGCATGTCCTTTATATATCACAAGTAATCATACTGTTGGTAATTCTGTCCATTGGGTTAACTTGTCTATTTTGGTTTTAAATCAGAGTACTTTCCTACTGGGCTGGACAATGACTGTTGTCCATTCAGGGCTGGGTCATGGCTATGGCTAGATCCGTCAGTATATCCAGCATTACTCAGCAGTTTCTCTTTTTCTTTTGTGTAGGGACGAGGAGTCATGTCCTACAGACCATTCTCCCAGATGGGTTCCTGGGCTGTGTACATCACAGGTCCCAAGACTCTTGCCAGTTCGTCTGTCAATGGGCTAGCAGAGAAAGAGGACTGCTGTAGGAGGTATATCCCCCGACAACTGAGAGTGGGGACTTGTGCCACTCATTCCTGGGACGGGCTGTTCAAATCCATACCCCCCCACCTGTCCCATGATTTTTCACAGGCATGTACAGCAGCGTACAGCATTGCTGTCTTTTAATCAAGGAATACCAGCTCTTGACTCACTTTTATAACGGTAACAATAACCCAACAAGATGTTGTTTTTTTTTTTCCGGTACCAGGAATCGAACTCACGACCTTGTGCTTGCCAGGCAGGTGCTGTGCCACTGAGCTAAATCCCCAGCCCCTCCTAACAGGATGTTTTTCTTTTCCCTGTTTTGGTCATAGACCCCAGCCAAATCTATCATCATCCATCCTGATGGGTAGGATAAATGGCAGGTTAAGGTCAATGACTCATAGGGCTTGTACCTATGCAACAGTCCTTTTTGAGTCCTGAAAAGCATCTTCCACTGCATCTGTCCAGCAGTCAGCTTCAGCTGTGGCTGTCCAGCCCATATTGTGCCCCTTTTGGTCATCTGGTATAAAAGGCATAGCGGGGTAGCTAGGGGCAGTATGTCTGCTAAAAATTTACTAAGCCCACATATACCTATATTTGGCAGACTGTCGGGTCTGGTCTTACCAGACCATATAATACTCAAGAATTTGACAGACAAGCCAGGTCCTTGGATCTTGTCTTTGTTTATGGTCCACTCCCATGTCAGCAAAGCTTTTCTCAGACTGCTTATGGTGGCTTTTAAATCTATAAAATAATCAGATGGTAACATAATATCATCAATACAAAGCAGTGACACGGAGTGTGGTTTGGCCCAGGTGGCCATGGTTCGGGCCACCAGGCCATGACACAAAGTTGGGCTAGGCAAATAGCCTTGAGGCAACATCTGGAAGGCCCATTCCCTTCCCTCCCAGGTGAAGGCAAATTGGTCCTGACTGTTAGTGTCAGAGTGCGACTTTACAGTCATTTGCCAGGGCTCATCTGGCTTCTGCATGGGCCATACTGAAGGGCATTCTTCAGGGCATAGCACTTCTTTTCTTTTAACTTTAAAACGGCCTGTCCCATTGTTTTATGGCCTCCAGAGAGTCAGTACTGCTTTGTGTACATAACCCATGCGGCCTACCGGAGAGTCAGCAGTGTGTGGTGCGGGAGGCCTTGAACTACTGTTTTTACCATGTGAATTTGTAAGTGGAATTTTTCCTGCATGGTGTCGAGCCGAGCACCAGTCAGCATGTTTATCCCCAGTATGTATTTGGCAATCAGAAAAACACAAACATCACATAGGTGTGGGGACAAGCGCCACACAGAAAAAGTCACCTGGGCCTTCTGGACTGTGATCTCCATACCCTTCCGTGCATGCCGTAGGTCCTGTAGAACAGTCTGGGCTGCTGTATTTTAGCACTGACTCAGCTTTGGTATCCACCAGTGCTAGTACTCGCTGCACACTTTTTGTGGACCAGTAAATAATCAGTTCCACATGTGGCCTCCAGTGTCCCAGGACTCCCAAGACTCAGGTACCTTGGCCTACCTCCTAATTGATGTAAAAGGAGGCCAGTGGTACTTTCTTTTGCTTTACCAGGGCTGTTTTGGCCTGCTGGCCTTGGCCTGTTGGCTGGTATTGCTGGTCAGATCATAACTGCCTCTGCAGAGTTAGCAACACATCAAAAGGCAGCCTGTCTAAATTATCTGTGCTTTGGTCTGCTGCCAGCAGGTCCTTCAGACCTGGAAGTGACTGACCTTCAGTGGCCTCACAGCTTGTTCTGGGGGGTGGACATTCTGGTTGATGCAGAGGCTCCCCCTTTTTTTTCAATTGGTACAGTTTTTATAGATCTCGCCTTACCTTGGCACTTTACTTTCATATCTCCCAGCTTGGCCAAGGCATCCACAGTATTATGGATCAAGTGATCTGTAAAGGGGACTAGGAAGGCTGCCACTGACCCAAATGTGCCAGCTGGTCTGCTCGCCAGGGTCATGTTCTTCATACAGATGGTCAGCAGTTCCTCATCTGTGCTAAGATACTGTAGTGTGAACATCATTTGTTGCATGCCTATTTCACGTAGCACATATCAAGTCTATATAGGCTGAACATTTAGTAACTTTCTCTAGCAGATCACCTGGATTCTCCCAAACCAGGGGAACTGCTGCCATCAACCAATTTATCACAGTCTGATTACTGCTTCTGGAGCTGTCCTCCGCACAATCTGCAGAACACATCCTAAAGGGGATGCTGGCTATGCTGGCTATTTGGGAGATCTCTTGTGGGCTTAACTGTATGTTATCAGCTCCATGATCCCACAGCCATAGCAGCCACTCAGGCAGAGTTTAACCCACCATCTGCTTTAATTATTTTGCTAGTTCCTGCAGCTCTATGACTGGATGCGTCCTGTACATCGTGTGCTGGATAGAGGTAGGTGTCCCTCCCGGTTCTCCTCCCTGGGCTAGAGATACCTCTACCTTCACTTCTTGATGAATAGTCAGCCTAGGATGCAAAACCAGGGGATTTTCCGGGGGGTTTCTCAGTCATGAGGACTTACACTTTTGAAGACATTTCTGGAGGGGGCAGTGCTTCCTACACCTCACAACATGAGCTCCACAACAGCTAGCTGTTGTTGAAGGCCCTCCTCTATTTGCTGCAGCTTGTCTACTTGCCAGACAAGGCCATCTACCTCTTGATTACACAGTTCAGCTCATGTAGGTCACATGACTCTACAGTAGTGATCGTGGGCAGGATGTCTGGAGTTTGGCTTTAGATCAACCTAATGGAACCTTAGTATCATTCACCTACTTCCCTCTTGGTACAGACTTTAATTAAAAGATTTAGCAATTGTACCAAGAGGATGCTTGGATAAATTATAGCGGGGATAACCTCCCTAGTGATTTTGATAGCACAGCTGGGTAGCTGCTCTTAGCTCATTCAGTACTAACTGCTCACTTTGTAGACAATTGGACAACTGCTGACGACAGCTGGAAAATAAAGTGAGAAATTGAAATAAAGTTGCAAACCCAAGTGGGCATTTTAGAAACCTCTGTCCTTTTGATGGGAGATCAAACTGAAAGTTTGCAATTGCAAAAGGTTTAAAGTGTCACTATAATATGGCTGGCTTCTGTATCACCCAATTACCATACAACAAAAGTCTACATTCTTGGGGAATGATCAAGTAACATATAGAAGGAGCAATCCATCAAAATATTGCTAAGGACGTAGATGCTCTTCAGATAAAAATGCTGTCAGTGTCACAACAGACAGCCACATTTGATACCCAAGTGAAAGAATGGGATAAGTTTGCTGATGCTAAAGAATAATTGAATACATTTGAATATTTTAAGGCTCATTTTTGATTTATATTGGAACTTGTGTGCTCATTCTCCTGTTGATAATTCTTCATTAAAGTGTGTCTTGCAGGATTCACAACCTGGTGCCAGTCATTGCCCATATAGCAATGACTGACTGTGCTCCAGCTTCTTCAAAGCAAAGAAGGGGGATCTGTGGAGGATCATCTAGTTGAAGGAGGAGCAGTTGTCTCCATTTTTGCTGAACCTGACCCTATTTCCATGTATTGATATGGACAGAGCTGGCTAGGACTTTTCTTAATCCCTTCAACTGGCTTTAAGCAATGCATATCAATCTGGCTGAAATGCTGATATGTAGTCTTTGAAGCAAAGATGACAGGGCAGTGTTTCCCCACTACTCCCATAGCTCTCAAGTGTGAGCCAGGGCAAAGTGGGATGGAAAGCCCATGCTACTGGCTGGGATCAAGCCTCAAGGTAAGAAGCTATGACTTCTCAGGGCATAAAAGATTACACATCAAAGCTGAAGCACTGACTCCAAAACATTAGATACTACCTCAACTG